CCACCAATATACCAATCTTAACTTAAGGATAAGGTAACTTCCCATATCATACTAAGTTAGATAAAATCTCATTTAGCTTAAAACTGTTTGCCAACATATATTGTCGATCGTGTATTATGTCAAAAACATTAGAAAGATTCAAACCGTTTCTGTTTTTTAAAATTAAACTTGTTTCTCCTTGTACTTTCTTTTCTTTTGGGCAGGTACCTATCCTATACTCAACAGGTTTTATTAGATAACCAATTTTTTTTTAAATAACGGTCGTCTATATTCGGTATCCACCGTATTAAAAAGGTTTTGAAAAATATTAAGCATATTATTTAAATTAGAACATACTTGTGATGGAAGGAATTTGACGCATAATTTGTCGAATACAACTTTAAATTTTTCTACTAAAGTTGTAACAAGTGACTGAGTTAATTTAATCACGTCTTGAATTGCATTTCTAGGAAGAGATAAGTTATTATATATTACTGAGACAAATGTTTCTAAAATTTTGCCGATTACTTTTTGAAATAAGTTTACATCATCAACGTCGTCCGACCGATCCTTATCATTATTTGTTAAATGTAAATTACTGTCTGAAAAAGATAGACGCTAGTACAGTAGCTGCTGCAACCATAATTTAGTTCAACATTATTATTGATTGTTTCAATCCTATCTGACTTAATTAGTATTGGAAAACCATTTTGGGTCAAATACTTATCTATAGCAACATTCTTTGGGACACACAAAGCGGTCTGTAATATAATGAAAATATTCTAGATTAAAGAAGTACTTTCTTGTATCAAGAAAGCTTTACCACATTTATCGCATTTCATTTTGTTACTTAAAAATAAAATTTATTGAAATTTGCTAACAATATCAAGAACATAAGGTGGACTGAACTATTGTAGTTATATCACCTGGCGTCTAAATAACATAATAATTACGTTATTACTGGTAAGAGGTGAAAGGTTACGTAAAATTTACCTTTGCCAGTTGAATAATGCAGTCTACTACTTCTACGGTTGAATATTTCTAGTGCAATAGTTGTAATAGAAAGTTGTAATAGTTGACTCACAAAGATGATATCTGATAATCATGAAACGACTAAGAATTTGTTATTAACTACGTATTACGATAACGTACCTTCGTCAGCTGTATCAACTATAATTTTATAAGCAATAACCCTCAGCTCTTCAACTGTTTGGTAATACTTCTCCCAATTAGTATACAACTTCATGTGACCAGTTGGAAAACATAATTTGATATCACAACTTATCTAAAACAAAAAGTTTTCAAATTAAACTTGAAGAAAAGTAATATCACAAAAATTTGTAATTTTAATACTGAACTTACTAAAACTTCACATCTTCGGTCGCTTAGGACAGGCCAAATGTGCAATAATTCTTCAACTGTTGCACAATTTGCATTACTTCGCAAATGATAACTTTTTTGCCATTTTTCAATTACTTGGGACCACGGCTCATTATTAACTTATACGATATGATATATGCTCTATATACGATACGATACTACAAAATTTCAGAAATTCAATATTTAAGTAACAACACTTATGAAATTGACTGTGGTTCGACATTTTCATATTACGAAAATCGTAAAAGAAGCGTACTAGAATGAATTGTTCTAGTTACCTACTTCGATTCATAATCGACTATAATATACTATAAAATTCTTTTCCATAACAGTCTGAAATACCGACTTTTTTAAGAGGACATAATGGAAAGAGTTGTATACTTTTTACATACCTACAAAAATTTTTATAACTTCCGGCGTACAGCCCCATGATAGCAACAAACATTTCACATCCATAACTAAACGAATTAAAGCAAGCAAACAACGTGGTGCTAAACAAAAAAAAAACTAAGGCATAATATTGCCGAAAATATAAATGGCCTAATGTGCGATCAGACTCATCAGAGCGCTGTGCGTTTAACGAATGAAGTTCAGGTTATAACATGTTTGTACAGTAGAGAGTCTAGACTCTTGGATTACGTCATCACACCGAATATATTTCATCCAAGAATATACCGGATAATTTACTTAAATGAATCTTAAATCGTATATATGATTTTTATGTATGTACAGGGTGCGGCAATTAATTCTCCCACATTTGAAAGAGCTGTTAAATAAAAACGAAATGAGATATTTGAAAAATTTTTTTTTATTCAAAAAGCTTGTATATTCAAGTTTTTTTGACTTAGGACTTTCGCGGAAGTTTTCCATGACTCTCCTTAACATACCGTTGTCAACGTGAACGATTTCCTCCGCAATTGCCTCTTTTAACCCTTCCAGGGTCCTAGGGCGATCTTTGACCACCTCAGCCTTGAGGTAACCCCACAGGAAAAAGTCACAGGGTCAATTCCGGCGAGCGAGGAGGCCAAGGAATGTTCTCGTGTAGGGAGATCACCCGACCGGGGAACATGTCCTGCAGAATCTGACGCGAACGACGGGCTGTATGGGCCGTAGCCCCATCCTGCTGGAACCAGAAGTCCTCTCCTTTGTTCTCTTCCCCGTATTCCTCAATGTTTGGTCGCAAAAATTCCTCCAACATGTTACAGTATCGATGGGACGTCACGGTGACTGTAACACCGCCTTCCTTGAAGCTTGGTTTAATACAAGCTAGAGGGCGTTATCTGCAGCGGTTACATATTTTTGTGATTTTTGAAAAAAAGTTAAATGAAACGGTACTGTTTTCTTCACAGACCCTTAATCACTATAAAATTTGCTAAATAATAGTGAAAACCGCATCTCGATATCTCCATCCATTCTCGAATTCTAGAAGAAAATGTTAAAAATTCGTATATCTTAATCGGATCAAGTTACCTTAGGAAACAAATAAGAGACCACAAAAATATTATTATCTAGACCCTTACTTCACACTTTATCCTAGCTTAGAACTGTTTCAAAACTACTTTTGAGGCGTTTTTAAAAGCTAACGGATCAATGAAACATCAACAATGATAATAAAACAAAATAAACCAAAACACTTAGAATAACTTAAATTTTTGGCAAAAATAGCTCACTAATGTGCGAAATGCCTTCCATAAACCTCAATGCATTTATTTAATCTAGTTTCGACGAAAAAAAACTTAAAAGCTTAAGTCTCGGCCCTGGACACGTTTCTACTGGTATTTAGAGTTTTGTCATATTTTCCCTGGTTATTGGTTTTTCTTGAAAAGTCAGGTCGTTTAGTCTACGCAATAGATAAAGGGGTGAAAGCAATGTGGGTTTTGCTCGAACCAAGAATGCATATTATGCAAGTTTACACCAGCTTGTGGACAGATGCTTCATGCATCCATAGCATTTGTGATAAAAGGTTTGGATTTGCCCAAATCATATTTAAAAGTCAATGGTAATAGTTCAGTCTGTTATCATAATCGGTATCTGTTAAGGCCTGATGTAAAACAACGTGGTGGAGATATTATTCTCTTGAGAACTCTTGTGGACAATTGTTTTCGGAGTTCCCAGATTATGTGGGATCACATTGCGCACCAATATGATTTACGAATTCATAGAGATGTCTGAATGGGCTACACGTTGCCAGTTTTCCGTAATCGCTAAGTCAATCTTAAAAACACTTCTAGAGAAAAATGTCTTTCTTTGTCGTAATTGCATTGCACATTTTTGCCATGCAGTTGCATCGTATTCGAAACATTGAAAATAAATCATCATACGCTCTATCATACGCTTCTGCGTTAGTAAATGACATGTTTACAGTTACCATGGTAATGTGATTTGTTTTTCTCGATGAGGTAACTGGATCCGATTGATGGCACTCGAGTTTTTAACATTTTCTTCTATAACTCGAGAACGGGTGGCGATATCGAGATGCGGTTTTCACTAAAATTTAGCAAATTTTAAGGTGACTAAGGGTCTGTGAAGTAAATAGTATCGTTCCATTTAACTTTTCTTCAAAAATCACAAAAATATGTAATCGCTGCAGATAACGTCCTCTAGCTCATTTGTTTTAAAGCAGACGGTCTTACTGAAAATATCTTTAAAAAGAGCATAAAATGCTCTTTCAAACAACACCGAAAACATTCAAATCGGTTGAATGGTCTAGGAGATATTAAAATGTAAACATATGAAAACGCATTGGCCTCCCCCTCCCTTATTATGACAGATATGAGAAATATCGCAAAACAAAAGCGATGCGGTATTATCCAAGCTATTAAATGATGTTGTCAAAATTATAGCTCATCGTCTAAGTTTCTGAGATAGCGGCAATTTTATGTTTCTCAATGGCAGTTATGCCTCCTAGCGGTCGAATTACGAACTTCAAAATAATTTCCAGCTATTTCTCTTGGTCACTTTGCTTATAAAGATTTTTTTCCCAAACCTCTAGGCCTTACCGTTGTTGAGGTACAGCCGCTCCGTACGCTTAACAGGACACCTGTGTATATATCTACGTGTACTTACATGTGTATACATGAATATTTTTCTACGATTACATATAATATAGATAGTCTTTCTTCAGTTTCAATTGTGGTTGTTAGTTATTTGTTCTCACTCGTTTCTGTAACTCTAAGTTCGGACTTGATTAGGGTGTGGTCAAGTACGTTCGTAAAGGTTTTATATAAGTCCGTGGCGCCCATTAACATCTTTGAATATTATTTTAAACCCACGCCGTCTCCACTGTCTAAAGGCTGGCTGAGGTAAGTAAACCTTTACGCAACCTTGACGTCGTCTTGGTGTTTTGTTTGCCTTTTTGTTTGTTTAAAAAGAAGTGCCACACGATCAGGGACCGGATCTGTGAACTGCAAACCATACCTTGTGCGGAACGCTCTCTGAGTGTTTGTAACGGAACCCCCCACGCCTCTGTCGCCATCGATGCCCCTTCCACGATTTTTTGAAAAGTAGGAGAACCAATTGCCGCACCCTGTATAATAAACACACCATGGATTCAAATAAATGATTCTAATAGAATCATAATCATCTAGCGTAGATTTTGAAACAAGTTCTAATATGTTTACTTAATACTTTTAATAATGCAGTATCTGGTTTAAGTGGAACAAATGGATTTCCTGGAGTGATTGGGGCAATTGACGGAAGTCACATCAAAATTGACAAGCCAAAGAACGACCCCGACTCATATTTAAATAGAAAACATTATTTCTCGATTCAGGTAAGAAATAATTTATATTGAAATAGGAATATAGTAAATATATATAGTCTTGTATATGTTACATACAAAATATTTTGTAGATGCAAGTTGTTTGTGATCATACTCGCAAAATAAGGGACATATTTATTGGATATCCAGGCTCCGTTCATGATAGCAGAGTGTTCAGGACATCACCATTGTCGGAAACATTAGCAGAAAAATGTGGAGAATTGTACTTATTGGGCGATAGTGGATACCCCTGTCAACGACATCTGTTAACGCCCTTTAAAGATAGATGTCAGCTGACTGAAAACCAACGTAATTTTAACGTTAAGTTATCTTCAAATAGATATGTAATTGAACATTGTTTTGGTTTACTGAAACAAAGATTTCGACAACTATTTCATCTCAAACTTAAGGATATTTCACTAATTGCAAATTTTATAAGAGCTTGTTGTGTTTTGCACAACTTAGCAGTAGACAATGGTTTACTTGTATTGGATGATGTTGAAGATGAAGTAAATAATGACATTGCAGTTCAAGCTGTAGGCAATATAGCCAACAATGAGGAGGATGAAGCTGACAATGGAGATGGAATTCAACATAGAAATTTTATAGCAAATAATGTTTTAACTAGGTAGTCAACCAGGAGGTTTAGAATAACGATTTTTGTTTCTAATTACATTTTTCTTCAATTAGATCATTTGCCTTCATTTCTTCTCTCTAATAATTTTTGATCCTCAAGTTGCATTTCTCTATCAAGAGCTTGCATCTCCAACTGAATTTTTTCCTCGTAATACCTTCTGCGGTCTGTACGCATCTCTTCTAAAATTTCATTTTTTTGGATTATACTTTTTCTCCTTTTTGAGTTTATTGGATTGTGTAGTAAATTATTTTTTTTAGGCGCCCTTTTGGGTATGATCTCTTTTTGGGTATCATCTTTTCTTCTAAGTTCATTGATGGTTTCATCAATGGGTTGTGGTTCTTCTTCTACATTTTCAAATGGTTGTTCAATGATTTGGTCACTGGTTTGTGATGGATATGATTTTGAGTTACTGGATAGCAGGATTTCGGGATAATGTTTTTCTTCTTTCCAAAAACTTCATTCATTTCCGTTTCAAATTCGAAACATTTCCTTCCCCTATCGGTTTTATGTGCATTGTCAATACACTTTTTGTAGTTCCGTTCCAATACTCGCCATCTGTTATCGCAATTATTAGCTGACACATTCAGCTTATAATTTTTATTTAATTCTTCAGCAATCAACTCCCACATCTTTTTTAAATTTCTAATTTCTATCCCACCCACTTTATGTCTGTATTTTTTATACAAATCGATCATTAATTTTGTGGAATTAACTGTCCAGATTTTATATTCTTGTTGTTGCAAGTCTTGTAGAATTACGGAAGAATTGTCTAAAAGGACAAACAAATATCAATATTATTACACAGCAAAATTGCCTAACATACTTCTTTAATGATTAATCCAAATATTCAGATGACATCTTATTTATTAACTTTAACTAGATTTTATTTCATTAGTGTGCCTACTTCCGTAGTAAACGTTTAGTTTATAATTAATAAATTTCTATAATTACCTGGCAATACATCCATTTCGTATAACGTGTATTATAACCAAGTCACCAAGCCACAACTAACTGACACTCATTTAAAGTTAGGTTATGTCACCGGAGATTTGTTTTCATATTTTTACTGTTCGAGCTGTGACAAATATCGTACTAGTTCGCAATAAATCGTTACATGCGCATGCGCATTCATGAATGCACTAATTTGTCACAAACTTATACCTAATTCTCTGCTCGAACAAACCTAATATGACACGCAGTGTCCAACACTTTTGGCTGCTTCAAATGGTAGCTGATATTCTCCACCACTATAACTTTCGGAAAAATTTCAAAAGAAAGTTGACATGCCGTGAAGGTTTCAAAAATGATATATGCGTAAGTTACAGCCTAACACAGCCGGTACTTTCATAGTTTTGTCTCCACAGCAACTGTTGACCGTCACAGGTTTAAGGAATTCTTGCAGAAGTTCGCTCAACGATTCATTTTTGAACTCCTGTGCTGGTGATTGTTTTGCGGAAGCTATTTTAATTGAGCCATCCAGGCATTTAATATGTTCAAACACAGATCTGCTTGAATGAGTCTTGTATCTACGTCACCCATTTTTACACTATTCAATAATGATACTTCATAATGTAATATTACAGATAAATGCTGTATCAAATAGGGTTTCTTTAAAAAAATAATAATAACAACAATAATCATAATAAGCTTTATTACAGATTATAAATTACATAAACTAAACGTTGACAACAAAACTACAGTCAGTATAGCGCCATTAAGCTGTGACGTTTAGACGACGATCTGCGCAGAACGGTTGAAAAATCGAATCCTTTCGGTTCTACCTTATATTCTTATACCATGGTGCAACCCTTGATTTTGCGAAAATCAAATGTCTTACACTGCCCCTGTCGACACCACAGGCACGAATATAAATGCACTCCCGTATGCTTTCGTTGAAACGTCCGAAAATCTATGCAACTCTAATGGCCTTGAATACTGAAGCGATATGTGCCGCCGAACAAGAATTGAATTAAGATAAGGTAACTGTTCACGGAATTTAACATAACTTGTATGGCTATGATTTCGCTTCATTCCAATTTAAGCCTGCTTTTCATATTTGTTTCAAAATGATTATTACGTTTATGATTACTGAATACAACAACCTAAGTGGATCAAACACTTGTGCAATATCGGATAAAATCGTGCGTTTATTGATATTATAATAGGTGTCTTCACTGATTTGATATCTATATTATACTATAGCAGGTGTAGAAGCATTATTCCATATTAGTTGAACACCGTATTAATAAAATTATGTATCCTACCTGTGAGATAGCTTGAGGTGATAGGACGGCCGACTCCGTAAACTATTAGTTTAGCGGTATCTTATAGCTAGCTTATCTGATAGATGCCAACGGTTTGGTAGTAAATGGCCTTAATAGTTTAGTGAACATATCTGCTATCTGCTCGTTAGTCTTAATTAGCACTATTTTAATAATATTATTATGACCTATTGTCTTCATACAATAATGTCGGGTCATCACATGTTGTTAATTTGAAATCTATAATAAGTTTTCGTAACCAACAAGCCTCTGCCACGGCTAAACTCAATGCTACATACTCAGACTCCGTTGATAAGATTGATACATTTTGTTGTTTTTTACTCAACCACGAGTAACGGTACAACCAAACATTTTAAAAACATAGCCTGTGGTCGATTTACGATCAATTGTATCTCCCACCCAATACGAATCTACATAACCGCACAACACATAATCGTTTTCTGGTCTCAAAACTATATATTTCAAAATTCTCTTCAATGATTTATACAAATTCACATTTGGTCTATGCTAGAAACGACTTAACAAACTAACGATTTGGCACAAATCGGGTCTAGTTCCTAATGCTACGTACATTAAACTTCCGATTATTTTTCTACAAATATTTTGCATTTTTCGATCATCTTTATCACCATTTAAGTTTTCATAGTTAACATTATTTTCTAACGGTGTATTTACAGATTTACATTCTTCCATTTTTAATCTTTTTAATACATTTTTTAAGTAATTTCCCTGACTCAGTTCGATAACATCACTATTTCTACGTATTGTGAATGAATTTTACGGTATTACGATTGTGAATGGTTTAATTCATTTCCTGGGCAAATACGTTCCGACCCCTGCCCGTTTTACTATTGTTATCTACATATTTTTTTATAATTTCTTTCAATCACTCGCCATCTCTTTTCACAGTGGCTTGGAGTAAAACATAATTGATATTCAGATGTAAATAGTTCTGATATGGTTATTGAAATAAGAAAAAGAAGAATTGAATTGTACGTCACTATATCGAATTGTTGTTAAATGAATGTTTTGAAAATTTGGAATATCTACACCGTCCGTAATGTCTATTTCATTGTCAACAATGTCATTATTTTCCTTAAGTATGAATGAACAACTTAAAATGGATGTATTGTCTATATTCGATCAAAGAATACGTTGATGCAGTACTGTACAATCGTTGCGGGACATCTTATATATATTGATCGTGTGAGGGCCGCTTTAAATTCGAAAATTGATTTATTCTTCCGTTAGCAAATGTGAGTATTTTATTTATTTTATTTAATTAAATTTAGACAGCACCTAAATATTTTAGTACCCGGCCTTATGTCGCGCGTACAATAAGCAAATTAACTTAATCAACATTGCAATACTAATATTACAACACTATGGCAGCTGATTAAAAGAACAGCAGTTACTTTTGTATTGTTGTGTATCTGAACTAACGAAATCGTAATGTAGTCTCTTATAATATTCTAATTTTAGTCAAGTTGTAGTGTAAATAAACCAAATATAGGTTGTGGTACATCAAAATTAAGTTATGGACAATAGTGACAGTTAACAAAATTATGATAGTAACAGAAAACTAAAGAAACACCTGCTATATCTATTTATTAAACTAAGCTTATAGGACCAAAAGGTTGTTCCTGCGATGGGATTTAATGTTTACCATAGGTTGATACCCTTTTGTTGGCTAAATTGACTAGGGATGGCGGTTATTGTAAAAATAACCGGTTTTCGGTTGTTAGTTTATTTTAACTCCGGTTTAACCTACCGATTATAATCGTAGAAAATAACCGGTTTTTAAAATAATCTAATTTCGGTTTTATATAATTAAAAAACAACAAGATTGTAAACCAAAAGTAGCAAAAAAAATTAAAAAGAATACAAGAACAAAATTTTATTTTGTTCATTTTGATCCAAAATCTTTGTTTTGAAACACTTTTTTTTCATTTAAAATGTTTCTATATTTCAAGGACACAATTATGGTGCAAGGTTAAATAAAATTAAATCATAAATCACCCCAAAGGCCAATATTTATTTTCTAATCTATTTAAAAAAACTCTTTCAACAATGTGTTGATCGGTTAGACGAGTTCTCTCATCTGATACAATATCATTTAAAGTTGATACCAACCTCTCAGAAGCCACAGAACTTCCGACCAAACATAAATACTTTTGGGCTATGAAGGATAAACCTGGCATACAAGTTTTGCTCTGTTCCCAAAACACAAAAGGGTCGCTGCATCTTGGGACCAAGGGCTGCTGAAGGTAAAGCCACAGTTCATGTGGAAATGAACTTTCAAGTTCTACTGGACAAGTACTGGCCACTACCTGGTCATGTCTTGACCAAAGAAGATTTTCGGTTGTCGCCTCATCTATTTGAGGTAAAGGCGAAAGTTTACCAATTTCAGATAAGTACTGTCTTACTTCTTGGCTGAAATTTGTAATGGCTTTAGTAGCGATGAGGGGGTTCATGTAAAATTTCTTAAATCTGGGATCCGAGAGGGATGCATGGCATAGCAGAGGATTTTGTAGAACTTTTACTCCCTTTTCCTGTAGGCTACTTAACTTTTGACATAAAATTTTGGCAGCATTATGTTTCGAGTTATTGTTTTTTAATGTAGTTTCAATAATTGTAAGCAGGGAGATAACAAGGCTCCCTGTTATATAGTCACTTCCTGAAATTTCTTTAGTTGCTTCATCAAACGGCATAAAAATATTTAACACTTCTGATACCAGTTGAATGTCTGCACCTGACACCATCCTTGGTGCGTTTTTTATGCTGGGATTAGTTAATATTTGTACAATTAACGGTGCCAATTTTACAAATCTTTTCAACATGAGATAGGTGGAATTCCACTTAGTTGGTACCGCTTGTACTAAAGGTATGATTTTTCCTTCTACTGTGCCTTCCCGTTCCTGTTCCGCTCTCAGCTTTTCCATAACATTTACATTGCTCTTTCTGGCAAACGTGACCAGATTTTTTATTTCGGATATTAAATTCTTTAAAATCTCATTATTGATGTCTTCTAATCCATCTTGTACGATTAAGTTGAGGAGATGAGCAAAACAATAAATGTTTTTTCCCTCGCCTAACAATTTTCTCACCGCCGCGAGCATATCAGCTCCACGATCGGTACACACACCAACGATTTTTGAATTCGGTATGTTCAATTTTTGGAGTAACTCATTAATTTCTGCGGCAATATAGTCTGCTGTATGGCTTTCTCGCAGACGCCGAACCCCCAACATTATTGTGTTTAGTTTCCTTTCGCAAGGTTCTGTCACAACAAAGTATAGTTAATTACCTTATAATTTAACCAATTAAATTTACGTACCATTTTACGTACCAACAAAGTGTGCTGTAACTACTAAAAATCCCTTTGAGGTGTTGGTTACAGTACAGATGTCAGCGGAGAGTGAGAAGTGCATTACATCAGCCAATGTTGACTTTACTATTTCGATGGCCGTAATATACTTATTACTAACCATTTGAGTCACCTGGAAGTCGATCAGTTTTATTTAACAAAAAAAATTGCATGTCAACAATAATTAATTATTAATTAATTATAGGGTTAATCAAGTTATAAGTACTTACAGTTTTTCTACAGGGTAGCTTGTATAGTGGCCCTGCAACTTTTGTAAAATTAATAAACCCTTCCTTCTCCACAATTGAGTGAGGTAAATTGTCCTTGCATATCATAGAAATCAATGCATTAGTAAGATCAAGATCACGTTTTCCGCCTTCTACAAATAAGTGATGTTTCTATACTTATTATGTATTATTTTCTTACAAAAATTCACTTTGCAACTTACTCTCATAGCTACATGTTCTTTGTTGGTTTTCGAAAAGAGTAATTTGCCTTAATGAAGATGAAGGAGTAGGGCTCCTTGATCGAGTTATGTTTGTGTTCAAAGTCAGTTTTGAAACTCTTGGTCATCTTGTCTGTATCTCTAGCAACATTGGTGAAGGCGAAGGGCTTGGCGGTGGCGAGTTTGAAAATCCAGAGGTTGATGATGTTTTTTCATCACTTTTGGAAGCTACACATTTTTTGTTCTAAAGCAACCATAACAAAATGTTTCATTACTAATACAATAATAGTTGTTTATTTTTAAGGGCATAAACCATGGGTTTATGGGATTTTAATTGGCACCAGGGCCCATATACAACTTTTTTTTTTATTTTGGTCTGTTCAAGATCTATAAAGATCTTCCAGACGCTAACTACTCAACGTATTCCTATATTTTTCCCCTCATAAGCCCATTCGGTTTAGTGTCAAATCATCAAAATAGTTGTTCCTGATTGCTAGTTAAGGTCTTAAACCAAGAATTATAGACCAAAATAAAATAAATAAATAATATTAAAAAAATCAAAATTACCTTTTCTTCCTCGAAATATTTCGAGTGTTTGTTTTTTAAATGCTGCCGTAAGTTAGTTGTGCCTCCTCCTGTTCTTATTTTTTTTAAACATACGGAGCACTGTGCTTCACTTTCGCTGCAATTAGTAAAATATTTCCACACTATGGATGACATAGCGGAAATATTTATAACAACAATATTATTCAACCACGCAGACAACGACGCCCAAACCACAGAATAGTCAACGAGTCAACACCACAACACGGTCAACACTGAATACTGTTCTGAAGTTAGTAACTGAGTGATCAATTGTCTCAGTGTCGCCAACTTACTATTAGAGAAATATAAAATTATTAATTTGTGAAATTATTTATTGTCTTACAATTTAATGGCTTTTTATCCGGTTATTGCATATTAAAAAAAAACGGTTAAAATTGCGACAAAAAAATAATCGGAAAAATCGGTTAATAAAAAGTAAAACACCGCTTTTCTGTATAAACCGGTAGGTGTTTCCCATCCCTAAGCTCGGAAAGTGAAACAATGTTTCCCTTTCAAAATCCTGAGCAAAAATGGATAATTTGTTTTCGAATGTTATTACTTCTTCTAACATCGAAGAAATTAAGTTTCCTTTCCCTTGTAGTTTACGATTAAGCTGATTTAGATGAGACGTAACGTCTCTACCATGAAATAAAAGTTTTGGATCCACTGATTTTCCGTTAGTTCTGGATAGTGAACGCCCTTCTCGAGGAGAAATGCTTTAATTTCCGGAAAAAGGGACGGGAAACGTTCCCTCTTGATAACCAACGTACTATCGGCCAAACCTTATTTACTACATGGCGTAAGGGACAGAAAACAAATCC